CGCCCCCGCCGCCCCCGCGCCGCCCCCGCGCCGCCCCCGCGCCGCCGCCACGGTCCAGCCGCGGCCAGCACGCTCGCTCCGCGTCTGCCTCCCCTGGCAAATACCGCGCTAGTGTTTACAACTTTATTTCCGGGGAAATGAACAAGAGAGACGCGGTACGGCTGAGACCCGCGTGAGGGCTGGTTGGAGGAGGTTTGTGGTGTTTGATGGTGGTTGTTAGTGGTTGTTGGTGGGGCAGTGGCCGGTTAAAGTTCGGTTCGGTTCGATCGGTGGTGGTGGTTGGTGGTGGTGGTTGGTGTTGGTGGTTGGTGTTGGTGGTTGGTGTTGGTGGTTGGTGTTGGTGGTTGGTGGTGGTGGTTGGTGTTGGTGGTTGGTGCTGGTGGTTGGTGTTGGCGGTTGGTGTTGGTAATGGATGGTGGTGTGGTTATGGTTTGGCTGGTGGATGGACACATCTATGTCTTAGGGCAATTATTAGCTAGTAACAATATTGTACCTGAACTGAATTACATGCACACAGAAGTGCGGCGGGCTGGTTACAATAATTGCCCCTTAGACACTTGGAGTAGAGGTTCGGCAGGTGCCGCGTGGGGTGGCGCGGGGGTGGGTGCCGGTTGGGCTGCCTACCCCCGGGCGGTGAGTGGCGCGCGCGGCGGACGCTGCTGGCAGGGCGACGCGATGGCCGCGGTGCGATTGCGTGGGCGGGCCCGCCACATCCTCCTCCTCGGCCCCGCCAGGGCCCCGCCAGGGCCCCGCGGCCACGCACACGCCCATTGACGGCACGCATCAGTCACGCATGCAAGTGAGGATCCCTCCGGGCCCGGCGGCGAGCAGATCATGCAGCCGCATCTGCCGCATAAATACCTCTCGGTCCTTGCCATCCCTCTTCTCCGTACAGGCCATCTCTTTCAAGCCGTTTAGGAGACAAAAAGAGGGCGTGGGTTGTCAGTTTTGGGCCGTCGTGGAGTCGATGATGTTGATAATGATGATGATGTTGTTGATGATGGAAACGGTGTTGTTTTTGATGACAATGGTGATGACAATGGTGATGATAATGGTGATGATAATGGTGATGGTAATGTTGAAGGTGATGTTGATAAGGATTACTCGGGACGTAAATTTCTTATTCACACGGGGACATGCGCGCGCGCTCGTCTCCCGGCCCTGCAAAACAGGCGCGCCGGAGCCGCGAGGCCGGGCCCGAGCTCCCGAGGTGCAAAGAGCCTCCCGAACAAGCATCAATCCTGCTTAGCATGGCGCCGGGCGGCGTGGCTCGGCGGCGGCGCGCCGCTCTGGGAGCGTCCAGAGGAAGGGGGGTGGGGAGGGGGA